TACACTTGCCTTCAGATTTATTGCAGGGTGTATGTTTCTTGGCTATATATTTGACTGCTTTTGCTTGCCTAACTTTCCCCTTTCCATTCTAAACAGGGAAAGTATAAAGGGATTATTTGTGTAAGCTCTTTTCCTGCCTAGGAGTAGAGTGATTTTATAGCTGCAGAACAAGAAGGCTAGATAGAGAATTCTGGGGGGTGGACAGAGGTATTGAGGTCATTGCCTGCTCGTTTGTTAGTATGTGTGTGCAGAAGGATTCCCAGGGGGCTGTGATATGTGCATGCTTGTGCATGTGTCACACCAACCTGTCTTACCAAGTGCTTTCCCCTGAGAGAGCCCTAAGCCACCAAAGCCCCAGGAGCGGTGAGCCTAGGTCTTGGTTTCTAAATACCATCAGCTTCCTAAAGAAACACTGATATACGTTGAATAAATCAGTGATCTGTGAGTCAGTGCCAATAGAAAATAAATAAGGGAGAAGTAAAAGCTCGTTTTTCTGGTGAAAATCTACTTGCCAGTGTGGAAGGAATGATGGAGACAGTCACCCTTTGGCACCCCTCGTGTGGTTGACTCAGCTCTGAGGCACCAGCAGGCCCAGGCTGGTGAGTGGATGTCTGACTGAGGAGCCAGACAGTGGTCTGGTCTCATGATGTCCCCTTGGAAAATTCCAATAACAGAGGGGAAAGGGTGGCTTTTGGGTCACCCCAGAAGCGCAGCAGCATTTCTGGAGCACTCCCAATGTGGCATCATGAGGAGACATCAGACCTGGACTAAGGCCCAAGAGGCCTCATTTTCCAAACTGCCCAAACTGCCTGGGGGAATGTGAGGGTCACAGGAGGGAGCTGGGAACATCTGAAAATTTCTGGTTGGAATGCTATGTTTTGGTAAAGCAGGAAGATGGCCCTGTTTGGAGAAATGCCACTGAGTGTCCAGGGATGAGGGGTATCATGACTACCACTCACTCTAGATATCTGTGAACACTCAAGGATACATTTAAACTCAAGATTCAAGGTTTCCCATTCATTTAAGTGGCAGGGGGGAGTGAACTGGGATAGTATGACTGATCCGTAACACATGGTTGGTTTTCTCTAAAGTTCTGTTTAAAATTCTCTTCCCTTTGGACCAGCATCCAGCAGCCATTCCAACAGTAAAGTGGGTCTCAGGTAGAAAACTGGGATGAATAACAAATTCCCAGCTTTCTTAAAGCTACCATTTTTTTCTATCATAAACACCAGGAGAGTTCTTGACTGCAGGCTCCAGGCACATGGCAAGCAGCTAAGTAAACACACACACAATCCACACCCCTTTTTTTGGCTGCACTGTGTATCATGCAGCTTCCCTGGTGGCTCAGATGCTAAAGCGTCTGCCTACAATGCGGGAGACCTGGGTTCGATCCCTAGGTAGGGAAGGTCCCCCTGGAAAATTCCATGGACAGAGGAGCCTGGTATCATGCAGGATCTTAATTTGATCAGGGATCGAACTCATGCCCCAACATCGGGAGCATCGAGTTTTTAATCACTGGACCACAAGGCAAGTTCTAAACATCCATTTTGAATCACCACTTAGGACAGACTTCCTGTGAAAGACTGACAGGCCCAGTGTATGCACAGGATCAGCACAACGCAGCCTGTTCCCAGCCTTCCCAACACACAGTGAAGCATAAGGCTCCCATTTGCTCCCTTTAGGTACCAGGCCTGGACCTTAGTTTTACTAGTGGCAGAATGTGAAATGTCTAATGTGATTTCCAAGTCAGGCTGATAACTTTCCTGTCAACCTTTTTTTTGTGTGTGTAGCTATTTTTCATGTTAAATATTGTAAAACACACTGGCCAGATGGCTGCCTTATCTGAGTACATCTTCTCAATCCTTTCTTGGTGATTCTGTTGTCTTCTTTGAATGTCAAACACAGTAATATGGAGAACTTTTAATTGCTTTTGAAATGTACTGATATTTGGCTGTGACCTCAGACCCACTTTGCATTTAGTTGTATCACTTTTTCCAACTTTTCTGTCTTCTCCCTCCAGGCCACTTGTATACGTACACCCTATCGATGAGACCCATGCTTTGTATTTCTATCAGCGATAGTATCTAGACTTTGCTGTTTACGTTGTGTCTCTGGGCTGCTCTTCAGCCTTTAGTTGCTTTCTTCCTGTCAGCTTTGAATATTTGAGGTCACCAGGCAAGTGAATGAAGCTGGATAAATGGGGCAATATTATTAACTTGTATAAAAGGAAACTTGCCACACAAGTCCCGAAGAGCTCTCCAGAAATGCCCGATCTCTTCCTAATGTCAGCATTTTTACTTTTGGTTTTTATTTTAAAAATTAAAAGGAGTATGTTTTATTCTTTTTTTAGTGAAAGCTTCTAATCTAAAGCCTCCTTTTGCTCATGAGAAGAAGGCTTAGAGAGGCTGAGGTCTGCCTGGAGGCAGACCAAGCCCTTGGGCCTCACGCTGGAACTGGCCCAAGCCACGTGCTTTCAGCTCAGCCTGGAAGTTACACTGCCACAGTCACATGTTCTCCTTTACATTCCTCATACAGTTGTTATTAATTTAGAAGAGCCTGAGGTTTAAAAACCAGCCAGCACTTTCCATTTAAAAAATTTAGGTATACATTTTCTCATAAAAACTGTTTCCCTGAAATTAGAAATCATCTGTAAGTTTAAACCAGGCCCACGCCAGCCTTTGGTCAGAATGGCTTGGTGTTTGGATGTGTTCTTGCTCCATCAGCACCTTTCACACACGGGTCTGAGAGCGCTGGCCTCACACGCTGGCAGCAAGCTCACTGATCTGTGGGCTGGTCCTTTAAAAGCTGTGACACATGTTTGTCCCCACAAGACCTCATTTGAGGGAGCTTATTTTGTTCAGCCCATCAACTACCTGTGGCCTCAGGAAGACCCCATCCTCTGAAGCCCATAGGTTCTGCCAGGATTCCATGATGCCTAGATGAGAAAGTGGCACGCCTGATAATTAGACTTTCAGGGAATGCAAGACACATCCCACAGATTTTGCTAACCATTTCTTCTCCCCACAGGAAAAGTACCCAGAGGCTGTGCAGCTCTCAGAGGGGGCCTCCTCCAGCTACATGGGCATTAGGAACCCCAGTCAACCTGGGTGAGTACACAGGCCCCACCAAGTCGCTCCCCATCCCAGACGGGTCTTTCCTGTTAAAAACGATTACAAATAGTAGAAAACAAATGTAAACCACCTAACTGACATCTTGAGATGTGTCTGTGGAGTGATAACAGATAGCAGCGATGGCAGGAGAGCACCAGGGGGAGCTTGCTGGGTGAGGGAGGAGGGGAATGTGGGGACTGTAAACACAAATGGGATCTATAAGGAAAAGTCCAGCAGGTGCCGGTCTCACTGCACTGCTGGTGTCCTTAGGGACGGGAGGCCAGAGGGGTGGAGTTCTATTTTCATCAACTTATTTCAAGAAAGGTGGGGAGTCTGCAAGTACTGAGTGAGGAGAGAAGTCATCCAGGTCTCCTCCCACCCACTGTGGGTACCTTTATGTGCACGTGGGCAGGATGTGCTTCTGTGACCTGCGCCTAAAGATGTTTTGTTCCAAGCCTTAAAATGGTGTAGTTATGTAAGTCTCTGGAACATGCGTTGTTATTCAACCTTATTTCCAAAATTCACCTATAGTGGTGCCTATGCTGCTGCTAAGTCACGTCAGTCGTGCCCGACTCTTAGCGACCCCATGGACTGTACCTTACCAGGCTCCTCCGTCCATGGGATTTCCCAGGCAAGAGCACTGGAGTGGGGTGCCATTGCCTTCTCCGAGTGGTGCCTATAACTATAGCTAATTCATTTTCACTGCTTACACTCAATTAGGTGAATATATGTATTTCTGCATTCTTCAAGTCTTGGGCCTTTGGGTTATCATTATCTTCCACTATTTCTAACATTCCTGTTTATGTCCTTGGGCACACAGTACATAGGCTTCTCTTGAGCATATACTTAGAAACAAAATTCCTGGGTCATAGGGCAGATTCAGCTATCACTGCCAAATTCCTTTTAAAGTAGTTTATCGATTTGTATTTCCCACCAGTAATCTTTTAAGTTCTCATTGCTGGATATCCTGTACTTCACTTGTACTGTCACACTAACATGTAGTGGGCACAAAACAGCATCTCACTATGGTCATTTTCCTGTATGTTAATGATGTTGAATATCTTCTCATGTTTAACTGGCCATACTCTCTCTTCAGCTGTGGGTCTTTGAGATCAAGGGAGTCTGAGCACAGCCTTGGGGAAGGGCAGCAATGCCAAGGGTGGTTGGGAAGAGAGCGACGTTCTTGCCCACGTAGGCATCCTCTGCTCTAGAGAGAGAGTCAAGTGCCGCATACAGTTTAGTCTGATTTTAAAAGCACTCAGCAATGCATCTTACCTCTTTCAGGTTTGAACTAGTCATTGTTTGGAGGATACAAATAGATGAGCAAGGGAAGGTTTTGCCGAAGCTGGATCTTCTCACCAAAGTGCCGCTGCAAGGTAGGGATGTTCTGGTGATTTCTCACTGTGCTCAACACAAACACCTACTCATTTCATCTGGTTTTATATGGCAAGAATAAAAAGTAAAAAATGTCACTGATGTATTTTTAAAATAGGTTCTCAAAATATTTTTTGTCCATAATCACTCAAAAAGCACATGCATGTGGGATTGCCCCTTTGAGGCCCACTTAGGCTATGAATGCCTGATGTCTCTGCCTCAGGCATGTGGGGAGGTGCTTGGTTCAAGGTTGTGATTCAGTTGTCCTGGCTTCCCTTCATTTCGGCCAGTTGAGAATGAGGGAAGTGTCTTGGTGAAGTGTCTTACCCGATATGTGATTTGTTTTCTTTACAGCCCTGGAACTGGACAAGAACAGAGTCATAGAAACTGCTCCTCTCAGCTTCCGAACCCTACTGGGCGTGCTGGGCATTGAAGCCACTCTAGAAAGCCTGATTAAATCACTTTGCACAGAGGAAAGCAGCTAATTTCCAAACAGTGAACAACTACACATAGGAGTAAGATGCTGCACCTGGAGGTGTGTGATTTTATTGAATATAAACATTTGCTCTTTTCCACTTAGAAACCTTACCTTTAGAACATGTTTATGCAATTATGGCACATTATATGTAAGTTGTCAGGACATGAAAAATAAATACAGTTATTTAAATTCAAAATACCAAACAAGTGACACATATAGTGTATTTTTTAAAAGTAAACTCAACATCCGAGAAAGTACAGAAGTGGCTATCCATCCTGGGACACGGGGAGCCACCGTGCCCCTACCTTGGTATGAATCTAAGCGCAGAGGCGGCACCAGCCCATCTCAAAGGTTGGCCCTCCTCCTACCATCCACCCCGGAGGGACTCCTGCAGGGCTTACCAGCGCCGCCTCATTCTTTCACATTCCTCAGACACCCCAGGGGAGCCACGCCGCCCTCCTCACCTCCGGGCTCTAGAAGCAGCACTGGAGGCTTTCACAGCACCTCAGCAAGTCCTCTGACATTCACTCTTCATGGTCTTTCACGAAAAAGTAGAGTGGTTAACATTAACAAATGCAGTAAGACAGCAAGACGGCATTGTCCCTTCACACAGGGCCTTAGCCCCCCGGCCCCTCTGCACAGAAGAAGCAGTGTTTTCATTAAAGTCCCCCAGAGTCCTAAGTGCTGCACTGACCTGAGTCGCCAGTTTAAAGTAGAATGGGTGAAAACACTGTTTCCATCAAATGAAAGCCTCAGGGATGGGGCTGAGGTGGAGTGTGAGAAGTGCAAAGGGTTCAGTCAAGACCTTCTAGATACTCATCTTTAATTTTTTTTCCCCCAAATAGAGGGTGATTGTTTTCAGACCGTTCACTCCAATTAGAATAAGCAACAGGAGGCTGCCCAGCCCACCTCCTTGAGGGGCTGGGGTTTCAGAGCTCCACACACAAGAGATTCCGGGTCCCCTGCATACCCTGGTGCTGGGCAAGACCATCCTCACCCCAGGCCAGCAACAAGGAACAACCTCAGGCCTAAACAACTCTGATAGCTACCTACTTCCATGCACTCTGGAGCCTGCAACTTGATCATGAGAACAGGGCTCCATGTACACCCCTATGTGTGGAATCTCCACAGCCCTGTACCCCAGCATCCCACATGAATGACAGGCATGTGTTATTTGAATATCTTTTGGAACCTCTGAGTGAAGAAGTAAGAAGTAAATAGTAGGACAGGACTGAAGAATAAATTCTAGAAGAGCTGGCTTGATTCAAATAAGCATAATTCTCAATTTATCACAAAATTCCCCACAAAAATTATAATCAGCAAAATATTCTCATTTTTTGTGTAGTATTTTCATACAATCTCATGGTTTCACTATTATATTACAATAAGCCTTCATTAGTCCCTCAAAATGATGATATAAATAATCTATACAACCTACCATAGAATAAAAAACCGAAGCTAAGATTCCCAACAGTTTTCATAGCAGCTGGGCACACTTTTGGTGACCCCAACAAGAACCCTCTTGGTGCCAGCCAGGAGTTGCTCATCATGCAGAAGCAGGGCCTTGGGCAGCCCCGATGGGGAGGTGGTCCAGAATTACTCAAGGCCATCAACACCACACATCCTAGTGAAACCCGAATCAGGATGCTGGCCCTGGCAGAAGTAGCTGAGGTTTCCCGAACATCCAAAAATGTCAGAACACAGAACTGGCAGAAGCACAGGCACCCCATGACACCCACCCTGGGCATAGCAGCTCAGAGTTACAGCTCTGCTTTCAGCTTCCACAGCAGCAATTTCAGGTGGGAAAGAATACCTTGTTTCCCCTAAAGTTAAAGATAAATCATTCAACACAAAATAGAAAGTCAGTGCTCGCATGAGTGGTGTCTGCCCCTGCCCTGAGTCCCACGCTGCCTGCTGACCCTGAGCAGAGCAGTGGGTATGGCACCTCCACACGGGCTGTGAGCCCACTGATGGGAACTGGCGCGCACATCGGCAACTCTGCTCTCCACAGCAGGGAGCTGCTAAACCCGCGCTGACACGAGGCTTGTGCTGGAAGAGTGACCAGGTAACTCAGCTGGGAACGTTCCAGTAGTATCTGTGTTTTCTTCAAAGTCCAAACTGTAAGGTCTATGTGACAATTCAAGTTTTCTATGTTAGGATTCTGGTGGTAGGAGATCCAAACCTTGGGTCTTATAAGGCTTTTTAGAGATTAGATGTGAACCCTGGATGGAAAGGGAGAACTGCCCAGGGGGGCCTCCAGGGACACAGCACACTGCTGGGTTCATATCCAACATTCCTTGTCCTGGAAGCTATCTCTAAGGGCATTCGATGTCTCCCAGAGGCAGTCCCACCTGAACAGGGGTTGAAAAGCAAAAACATTCACAGCCAGAAGTCACCCAACACAACAGAAAATAGCTGTATCACTCAACCTTCACATTCTGTGTTCAAGTGTCAAAGCCACTGCAAGAAAAAGGTTAGACCTTATGGAGAACTAACGTGCAGTCTTCACTCTCCTTGAACCTCGTCGACATCACAGTAGCATCTTTGGCATGTACGGTCTTTAAATAGTAGTTGACTATCTTGCCATCCAGTTTATACTGATGAGGAATGCTCTCGTAGGGCTTGAGGTCAAGGTCCAGCACAGACACAGAGAAGGCAAACCGAGATCTCGATGAAGGGACAACAGGCCTCTGATCGGAGCTGGAAGCAAAAGAGCAATTTCAGAATACACAAACCTCCCAAATCCTCTCAACGCAACTCACAAAGAGCACCCATTCTGTGCATCTGTGTGCATTCCATCTCTATCTGTGCCAGCTGTACGCCTTGTGCTTGAAGCTCCTGCAAGAGAGGCACCTATTGTGACACCTACCAGCACACCAGATAAGAAAGAGTTAAAGTGCAGAAAGATGGAAAAGCAATTAAGTAGACTAGGCAACTGATACTCCCCATATCCCAGGAGTATAAACAAATGCTAAAAATGTTACTTATCATGAGCCAAGTATTACAAAACCTAAGAAAAAGAAAGTAGATCTAGCCATACAACAGCCAAATGCATAAAATGTTAAGAACAGACTTCTCTTTACGTATCTTTTCCCATGTCTGGTGAGAAACTCTTGCTCCTCTATGCTTTTTCACATTAGGAAAGAGAGATCTGGCTTCATGTTTTGTTCTCAAATGGTTTCATGTTTTATTCTCAAATTGTGTCTGTAGTGTTTTCTATTTTGTTTCTTAGGGTTTAGCTTTGTGGTTTTTCTAAATATTGGAATAGTTGTATGCTTAAAACAAAATGTAAACAATTACTTGTACTTAAAAACACTTGATGCAAAGAGCTGACTCACTGGGAAAAAAACCTGATGCTGGAAAAGACTGAGGGCAGAAGGAGAAGGGGACGGCAGGGTGAGACGGCTGGATAGCATCACCGACTCAATGGACGTGAATCTGAGCAAACTCCAGGAGTTAGTGAAGGACCAGGAAGCCTGGAGTGCTGCAGTCCATGGGGTCACCAAGAGTCGGACATGACTTAGAACAACAGCAACAACCAAAACACTTCCAGGCTAGTTCTGAATTTTGTACTAACATTTCTGTACATACCTTTTAGCTCTCAAAGTGCTCTCAGTATGCATCCAAATGATTGGTTAAATACATTACACGAGCTCGGTTTAGCCCAAGAGAGAGTATTAAGGAGTTCTGGTTTCTCCATGCATACTATACTAGATTTAGACATTATTGAAAACAAATGAAATACCAATTTCTAAAGGTCCTGCCTGGGAGAGGGAGGGCAGATAAAAACACTCCTATCTAATCACCTACTTAAGGCCTGGGCTCCCGTTCAGTCCCTGCTGAGAAGTGCTGTTTACGGGAAAAATGAGTCCCTGGCTCAGCTGCTGGGGTCTCAGCTACTCCCGCCTGAACAGCAGAGAACATGTATACAAATTAAGGTCTTACTTCTGAGTTTCACTCTCAGGGCCTGAAACCCAAGCTTCATGCAGCTGGGCTAGGACAGTGAACATCTCTGGCCCTCACCGGGGCTGCACATTTTATAGGAAACCACACATCACATCAGAACCAACACCCGATAAGATGACGTGAATCAAGAAAGGAATCCATCACATAGAGTCTGGTGAGAGCATGGCACAAGGGCCACTCCTGAGGAGCCTACTGGTCAGCCTCAAGCTCCCAGTGAGCCCAGATCTGAGTCTTCTGATACCTAAAATGCTTCTCTACCCTGTGGATGACATAGGTGCCCACATGGGCACACATCCTGGACACACGTCCTCACTCCTTTCCCAACATGTCAATTTCTGTTGAGCAGCTGGTCAAGGGTGTCAGGACTCCTGGCCCCGACCCCATCACATTTCTGTGTCCTGACTACTTCCTTCCTTCAGGAAGGGCAATAGATAATAACATTTGTGTGGTTTTCTCTCATCTAACAACACTAGCTTAATCCAAATGAATTCCTGCTGCTAAGAACTGGGAGCATTTTCTTAGGGGATAAGGAGAGATTTCAACTAAACAATTCTTTTAAAAATATTTCAGTTATGCCCTATAAATGTCCCTCCGTGTTTCCTATCAGAAAGTGGACAATCCTATGCCTGCCAAGAAGCAGGACTCCTAGGAATGTTTAGTTCAAAAGCATCAGAAAACCGAATGGCTGGCAGCCAGTGACACAAGGTCATCTTGACCCAGGAACACATATCAGAAGATTATGGAACATTCCACAAAACCGTGTGTGGGGTTTGGCACCCTGAAGATTAATGCTAAAGATGCCATCTAATCAATGAGAGAAGATTATCAGGTTCATCCTGAATTCCTAAAAAAGGCAGAGATAGGATTGGATAATGATGTCCTGGGAGAGATGCTGCAAAGAGGAAACAGAACAATGGAATGTTGTTTTAAAGGCTTTGAAATGACTATAAAGGTTGGCACATCAGGACCTGGAAAAAGGAGGGAAAATAAGACCTAGAGTAACCTACAGCTTCTTGGGCCTCTGAGCCATGATGGAAACTTGGGGTTTTCTTTGACAGAAAGGTATTTGCATGACAACATCTAAACTGCTTCTAAAGTCCTTGAGATATTTTCTTAGAAAATAGTAGTAATCTTGAATTTAATAGAACAAGCTTTTAAAATTATTCTCAAAAATGTCTATTTGACTTGTTACAAACTTCTAAAGAGCAAGAGTTAATAATCCCCATTGTATTAAGTAGGCCTTGGAAATTGGCCTTTGTTTATAGACATGATCTTCCAAGGGCCTCTCTAAATATAAAGACACCAACTCTCTTGCCAAGCCACAAAACCTTACTAGACCAAGGATACGTGACACAGCAGAAGGTGCCTCACCTTGCATCCTGCAGACAAGGAGAGAGCGCAATCATAATGGAGCAGTCCTTCGCAGTCATGGCAACCCGGTACTGCTGAACCTGCAGGGAAGGAGAAGTCAGTTCCACGGCATCCCCACACATACCTTTCCCAACTGGAGAGGTCCGGGAACTGATCCCAGATCAGGGGTGGGTTAGGAAGACCCAGGCCCAAAGGGCTCATTAGAGGCCAGTCCCGCCCTCTGACCTCTCACTGTAGGCAATGTATGGACCCTGATTCCGGAGACCTAGGACTTCAGCAAGAAATCTAGTGGGGGCAGGGAAGATTCTGAGTCATCTGGACCCCAGAGAAGGAATTCTTCTGAAGCGAACTCTGGAGACTTCTTAGATCTGAAGGGAGAAGGTGACATTCATGAAAACGTGGACACAGACTTGCAGGCCAGCCTGGGGCAGAGCGAGGAGAAGCCTGTGCCTGCCGCCCCTGTACCCAGCCCAGTGGCGCCGGCGCCCGTGCCATCCTGGAGGAACCCCCCCTGGCGGCAAGTCCAGCCTCGTCCTGGGTTAGCTCTGTCTGCCCGGAACCCTGTCGTTTTGTTTCTTTGTTTTTTTCCATGCTTGTGAACTGCACAACTTGAGCCTGACTGTACATCTTTTGGATTTGTTTCATTAAAAAAGAAGCACTTTAAAAAAAAAAAAGAAATCACAATCCACCTTGTAAGAAAAAACAACAGCCACACTGACAGCAGTGAGTATCACCTGGTCTTTGGTGCTGCATGTCGGCTTTCTCTAGTTGCAAAGAGTGGGGGCTACTCTCTAGCTGTGATGCACAGGCTTCGGTAGTTGCAGCGCAGGGCTCACTAGTTGTGGCCTGTGAGTCTGAGAGCGTGCAGGCTTTAGTAATTGGCACACAGGCTCAGTAGTTGTAGCTCTCGGGCACTAGATCATGAATTTAGTTGCTCCATGGCAGGTGGAATCTTCCTGGACCAAGGATCGAACCCATGCTGTCTGCAATGGCAGGAGGATTCTTATCCACTGCGCCACCAAGGGAAGTCTCATTTGAATTTTTTAGATTGAACTGCTCTCACTTTTACAAAAATAAACTAGTTACCAAAAAGTGGGCCCTACACATTATCACTGGCCTCAACATCTGTGTGATGGAAGATCATAACTTGTCTCCTTTTCAGTCATTTCCTTCAATGAAACACATCAAGAGAACTGCCCTGAGACAACATTCAAGCTTCATTCCACAAGGCAGGAATGTGTGGGAAAGAGGGGAGAACCCCAAGTGTGGGTTACAAAAGTGTGGCCTGCAAAAATCTTTACAGTAGGAGGAAAAAGAAGCTCTTCTCCTAATATCCATTTAGCTAAGAAATCAAGTATTTTACAATATATACACACACAAAAATCCAGTCTAAAAGAAGAGATAAATATTAAAAACAAAATATAAAATATTACATCCTAATCTGCAAGACTTAAAACATAAAAGCCATGAAAGACAAAGACATCTGAATACCTAAAAATAAAAAGCTTTTATTTGATACAATTATAATCCAAATATAAAAGACTTGTTGAAGAACAGGAGAAAATATCCGCAACATATAATAATCAACATCAAGAATATATACAAGATCTCCCTGGTGGTTCAGTGGTTAAGAATCCACTGTCCAATGCAGGAGGTTTGGTCCCTGGTCAGGGAACTAAGAGCCCACATGCTGAGGGTCAGCTACTGAGCCTGTGCCCTCTGGAGCCTGCGTACCACAAGTAGAGAGCCCATGAACCACGATGAAGATCCTCTGTGCTGCAGCTAAGACCCTACACAGCCAAGTAAATACATTTTAAAAAAATATATAAAGTGCTACCTATTCACAATACCTGAGACAGGCAAACAACCTGCAAGTCCACTGACGAATGGATAAAGATGTGGCACACACACACAGGGGGATACCACTCGGCCATAAAAAAGAGCAACGAAATAATGCCATCTGCAGCAACGTGGATGCAACTAGAGATTATCATACTAAGTATGGTAAATCAGAAAGAGACAAATACTATATGGTTTATTACCGAACACATGGAGTCTAAAATATGACACAAATTTACCTATAAAACAAAGAGATTCACAGACATACTGAACAGACTTGCTGTTGCTAAAGGAGTAGGGGTTGGGAGAAGGGTGGATTGACAGTTTGGGATTAGCAGATGCAAACTATTATATATAGAATGGATAAACAATAATGTATATCACAGGGAACTATAGTCAATATCCCTAATAAGCCATAATGGAAAAAAATGTGAAAAAGAAGCTATATACATGTATAACTGAATCACTCTGCTGTATAGCAGAAATTAACACAATATAAATCAACTATACTTCAATAAATTTTTTTTTAAAAATACATAAAATGCTAGACCAATATGTAAAAAGAAAATGAATCAAATATGGACCAAAGAAATTGACAAGATAAAAAATAGCCAATACATATATAAGATGTTCAAACATACTACTAATCAAGGGAGTGCAAATTATAATAGTGAAAATTTTTGTTTTCATCACAAGTGTGTTTTTTATATATACATAAATATGAATATAAATATATATACATATATATATGAAACGGCTAGACTTTCACTTCAAGCAATGCTTGGAGTATAATCGGGGCCAACCCAACTGCTGAAGTAGAAAAAGCTAAATAAAATATCAAAAACACCTGCTTGAAGGCAGAGGTCACAAGACCGGCGAGAACTGCTTAACCAGGGGGAGGACAAAGACCTTTTCTGCCTAGGGAGTGGATGACAATTCTGGAAGGCCAGCCAAGAGACACTTTAACCTCCAGGGCTATGGGGACAGGAACCACGATGAATCCCTGCTCTGGGTTAGTATCCAAATGTTGCAGCTTTAGACAGGGTGAGCCAGAAGTCAACAGGCCTTCCCAGGAACTGCAACTCTGCTTCAAAGAGAGCAGTCACCAAAGCTGGATTAAGATGGCCCCAGCTTGCTAATGCTCCCCAGGTCACTGACAGAGGCAACCCTAACATTCCTTCTCGAAGAAGATAACGTCCTAGGCCTCAGACGATCTCTAAACTAACTATACAAATACAGTTGCTGACACACTAGCAAAACTACCCAGGCACAAAAGATGATGCCGAGAGAAAACCAGCCAAAAAAAAAAAACCCCACAAATGAACCCCACAAAACCCCGCAATGGTAGAAAGAGGTACACTTGGACGCCAGGTACCAAAGATACCAGACACACATGCTGCTCAGCTCAAAGAAAAAAACCAAATTGACAACTTCAGAGAACTGGAGACTATGGGGTCTCCCTGGTATGTTACTTGTCGCTTGTCCCTTGCTGCTTGTAATATTCTTTGTGTTTAGTCTTTGTTAGTTTGATCAGTATGTGTCTTGGTGTGTTTCTCCTTTGGTTTATCCTGAATGGGACTCTCTAGGCCTCTTGGACTTGATTGACTATTTCCTTTTCCATGTTGGAGAAATTTTCAACTATAATCTCTTCAAAAATTTTCTCATAGCCTTTCTTTTCTTCTTCTGGGACCCCTATAATTCGAATGTTGGTGCGTTTGATATTGTCCCAGAGGTCTCTGAGACTATCCTCAGTTCTTTTCATTCTTTTTTACTTTATTCTGCTCTTCAGAAGTTATTTCCACCATTTTATCTTCCAGCTCACTGGTACATTCTTCTGCTTCAGATATTCTGCTATTGATTCCTTCTAGAGTATTTTTAATTTCAATACTTGTGTTGTTTGTCTCTGTATGTTTATTCTTTAATTCTTCTAGGTCTTTGTTAATTGATTCTTGCATTTTCTCCATTTTGTTTTCAAGGTTTTTGATCATCTTTACTATCATTATTCTGAATTCTTTTTCAGGTACTTTGCCTATTTCCTCTTCATTTATTTGGACTTTGGTGTTTCTAGTTTGTATCTTCATTTGTGTAGTATTTCTCTGCCTTTTCATTATTTTTTTTAACTTACTGTGTTTGAGGTCTCTTTTTCCCAGGTTTCAAGGTTGAATCCTTTCTTCCTTTTGGTTTCTGCCCTTCTAAGGTTTGCCCAGTGGTTTGTGTAAGCTTCATATAGGGTGAGATTTGTGCTGAGTTTTTGTTTGCTTGTTTGTTTTTCCTCTGATGGACAAGGCTGAGTGAGGTGTAATCCTGTCTGCTGATGATCGGGTTTGTATTTTTGTTTTGTTTGTTGTTTACATGAGGAGTCCTGCACAGGTGCTACTGGTGATTGGGTGATGCCCAACCTTGTATTCAAGTGGTTTCCTTTGTGTGAGTTCTCACTATCTGATACTCCCCATGGTTAGTTCTCTGGTAGCCTAGGATCTTGGAGTCAATGCTCCCACTTCAAAGGCTCAGGGCTTGATCTCTGCTGCTGGCACCACATCAGAGCTGGAGCCAGAGGGGGCCAGAAGGAGCTGGGACCCAGTGAGCAAGCCTGAGGGGCAGGACGCAGGGCACAGATGTGTTTTTTCACAAATTGGTTTGTGGCAACCCTGCATCAAGCAAGTCCATTGGCACCATTTTGCCAATAGCATTTGTTCACTTCATGTCTCTGTGTTACACTTTGGTAATTCTCACACTATTTCAAACTTTGTTATATTATATTTGTTATAATGATCTGTAATCAGTGACCTTTGATGTTGTTACTATAATTGTTTTGGAGCACCAGGAACTGGAACCACATAAAATGACAATCAGCAAATGTATGTTCTGACTGCTCTATACTGACTGGCCATCCCCCCATCTCTCTTTCTTCCTCAGGCTCCCCATTCCCTTAGGCCAAATTAGGCCAATTAATAACCACAAATGGCCTCTAAGTGTTCAAGTGATAGGAAGAATCACCGGTCTCTTACTTCTAAATCAAAGGCTGGAAATAATCACGCTTAGTGAGGAAGGCATGTTGAAAGCTGTGACAGGCCAAAAGCTAGGCCTCTTGCAACAAATAGCCAAGTTGTGAAAGCAAGGGAAATGTTCTTGAAGGAAATTAAAAGTATTGCTCCAGTGAACACACAAATGCTAACAAAACAACTTATTGCTGATATAAAGTTTTAGTGGTCTAGATAGAAGATCAAACCAATCACAAAGC